CTCTCCTCCCCTCTGTCCTCCCCGCTGTCCTCACCTCTATCCTCACCGCTGTCCTCACCTCTGTCCTCACCGCTGTCCTCACGTCTGTCCTCACCTCTATCCTCACCGCTGTCCTCACCTCTGTCCTCACCGCTGTCCTCACGTCTGTCCTCACCTCTATCCTCACCGCTGTCCTCACCTCTGTCCTCACCTCTGTCCTCACTGCTCTCCTCACCGCTGTCCTCACCTCTGTCCTCACCGCTCTCCTCACTGCTGTCCTTACCTCTACCCTCACTCCTGTCGGGCAGTTATTCGATGGGACTTCCTGCTCTGAGCTCCCCGCCTGAAGCACGCGCAGGCTCTGTCGCCTTCCTAGGTGACTGGCTCTGTGGCTGTGGGGCCTCACCTTATGGCGTGGAAGCCTTATGGGCCTGGGTGGGTGAGGACAGACCCGGAGCTCTTGCATGCCCTGGTGGAGGGGGAGAGGAGAGGCAGGTGCAGTGTTCCTCTTGCCAGGTTAATGAGTTTCCCTTTTCTTTTCCTTCTTCCGAGGATAGGAGGCCTCGAGGCCTCACCCCCAGGTGACGTTCCCACTCTTCCCACAGAGACGTGACTCAGGTGAGATAGGAAGGAGGGGGTGGGCTTGTCTGCACACTGACCGGCTCCCTTTGTGCTGTCCTTGCTTCAGCCACATGCGTTCTCATGGGAGTTGGGCCGGGGAAACGCTGAGACGTTCTGCATAGTCTCAGCGGGCGACCTCGGAGGTCATTTCCCAGACTAAGACTGGCCTTGGCACCAGCCGTGCAGTGAGGTTTGCATGGTGCCCCCGAGTCCAAATGGCAGAAAGTGCCGCTCAGCCTGCTGGCGGGCCAGGCGACCTGAGGGGGGCAGGGCCAGTTTACTCAGGGACGTGTGGCTGCTGACGCCCTCCTCGCTCTCCTCCAAGGCTCTGCACTGACCCAGACATTCTTCTTCCTGGATCCGTCACCGCCTCTCCTTGGCCTTGCCCTGCTGTTACCTCGTCCGAGGGTCCCAGCCTCCCCTCCACCAGGCCGGTGAGCAAGCCACCTGTGCCAGCTGTCACCCCAGGTCCTGCCCCCCAGAGACCGAGAAGCAGCTGCCGGCCTTCCTTTTGTCCTGTCTTTGCTGCGTGGCCTGTGACTGGTTTGCACCCGGTGCTGGAGGCTCTGCCCGCCGTGTCTGTCTGAACCAATGCCCGTTTTCAATGGCGTTTCAGATCCTGCTCTTCCTGAAGGCAGCCCTTGAATTCAGCGCCAAGCTCTTTTCTTTCAATACATTATTTTTCAAAATTAAAAAGATTTGTGTATCACTTGTGTTCCACTTCTGCTTGCCTATGACGGTGGTTGGTGAGGGTGGGTTAGGGAGGGTGGGGGTAGGGTAGGGGGCTGGAGGGGGTCCGGTGTGTGTGTGGGAGACACTGAGCAAAACAAAGGTCAGATTCTCAAGCTCAGTTATGCTCCAAAGAGGGTACTATCCAGGCAAGGAGACTAGAAAATCATGGGTATCCATGCTTGGTATAACTCAGGGGCCACATAAGAATGGTGGGGCATGAGCCCTGGCTGGTTTGGCTCAGTGGTTACAGCATCGGCCTGCAAATCAAAAGGTCACAGGTTCAATTCCCAGTCAAGGGCACGTACCTTAGTTGTAGGTTCTCTAGCCTCGGTAGGGGTGCGTGTGGTAGGGGCATGTGCAGGAGGCAACTAATTGATGCATCTCTCTCATGTTTCTCTCATGTCAATGTTTCTCTCTCTCTCACCTCCTCCCTCCTTCCCACCCTCTCTAGAAATCAATGGAAAAAATCCTTGGATGAGGATTTTTAAAAAAAGAATGGGATATGAGGTATGAAACAAATTCAGGTTTCCATCCTCCAGGGCCCTTGGGTCTGGGGTTGTGTGCTTCTCCTGGCTCCCACTATGGTCTATGAGCTTCAGGTATTTGTGCAGGTGCCAGTCATGGTTCCTGATGCCTAGTGCTGTAACGGATGGAACCAACAGCATAAACTTTTCCTGTCAAGGGCCCTGTGTACAGTGGGGAAAAACAATGATTGTTAACTGAATATGACCCACCCACTGTAATTAGCAATGGAGGTTTTATTAGTACTTTTTTAGTTGCATATGATGAAAACTCTACTAATGCCAGCTTAACAGAAAAAATTAGTTTTTTGGGTTCATGAGATTTGAAAGTTCATTATGTGAGTTTGGCTTCAGAAAATGCCTAGATCCCAGGACTCAAACGAGATCTTTATCCCTCCTCCCTCTGGATCCTTCCTTCCTCTCTCCTCTCCTCTGTGCTCCCTCCCTTCTCTCAGTGTGTTTCTTTCCCCTTCTATTCTGTAGCTCTCTGTCTGCTTCTCTTGGTCTCTCTCTCATATCTCTCTTGCCATTCCTGTCTGTCTGAATGACCCGCTCTTGTATTGTTTATCTATTAGATGGCTTTTCTGTCTCTGTATCTGCATTTCTCCTTACATCCATATCTCTGTGAATTTCTCTCTATTTCTCTCCTTCCTTCTCACTCTGTGACCCTTCCTCTCCCATGAATATGTATTTACTGTGTCTTTCTCTCAGGATGTCTCTCTGCCCACCTCTTTGTTTCTCAGTCTGTTGGCCCATGTGCCTTGCTGGGTTTTCCTCTCTCTGTCATTCTGTCTTCTGTGGTCTTTCCCTTTGTCTATATTCTCCCTTATGCTGTTTGTCTCCCTGCCTCTCTGTCCCCCTTTCTCTTTGTGTGCATTTGCTTTCTGCTGCGCCCTGTCTGTCTCTCTGATTTCTGCTTTTCCATGTTCATTTCTCTTATTTTCTCCTGCGGGAGTCAGCATTTCCCACTTGGCTAGGAAAGTGGACATCTCATATTTTCAGCCCAACACCTGAATAGCAAGAGACCATTACGTCAGCTCCAATGAGCAATCTGGAGAAAGCACCAGTTTTTCATACAGTCACTATAGATATGGGATTCTTACAATTGCTCTCAGGGCAAAATATAATTAGGCTCACGAGGCCACTTAAGGTATAAAGATGGGAAAGGGATAGAAAGATGCTAGACAATGTAATCTCTCTGTTAGGGACACAATTTTAGGGCTAAATCTGGCGTCTATTGATTGATTTGTGGATGTTGAACCACCCATGCACCCCTGGAATAAATCCAACTTAATTATAGTATATAATCCTTTTAACATTTAATTTGGTTTGCTAAGATTTTGTTGATGATTTCTACATCTATATTCATCAAAAATATGGGCTTAAAATTTTCTTTTCTTGTAATGTCCTTGTCTGATTTTGGGATCAGGGTAATGCTGTCCTCATAAAATGAGTTTGCGAGTGTCCCCTCCTTTTTATTTTTTCGGGAGAGTTTGAAAATTATATTAATTAGTCTTCAGGTTATTGGTAGAATTTGCCTGTGAAGCTCTCTGTTGCTGGACTTGGTTTGTTGGGAGGCTTTTAATTGCTGATTAATTTCCTTACCAGCAACCCATCTCTTCAGATTTTCTATTTCTTCACCATGAAGTCTTGGTAGGCTGTATATTTCTAGGAACTTATCTGTTTCTTCTAAGTTGTCCAATTTGTTGGAGTTTAACTTTACATAGTCATCTCTTATGATACTTTGTATTTCTGTG